CCTTCTTGCCAAGATGTGCACAACCTGGGCATTTGTTATTATTCTTTTTCCTGGTACCTTCAAATGAGGGCCATTGTCTGACTCCCTTGTTTTCACCACTGACCTGTTTCTTCAGGGTAACCAGACTGGTGTGTGAGCCACTCATGCAAACCTTAGGAAATGAAGGTCATGAAAAGGTAAAAGGGCAACAAATGCTTCCCCCCATCCTGTTTCACCAAAAGCAAAACAAGTAGAAGGAATTTTGGGGAATGCTTTTTGTGAAGATGGTATGGTTATCCTAATTCCTTACCAGTGGTTCCTTTCAGGTTTTACTGGGTTTCAGGTTTTGACTCCTGATTTTTCCAGGGCACTCTTCTAGGGTGGCTAGAGGATGGGAAATTTCATGGCAACACTGAAATGTTCTAATTTTAGATATACAATGATGGGCATAACCTAGATATTAATGTGGTATTTTCCACATTATTGTTATGAAAATTTTGATGTGGCCTCACATCCCATAATATGCATAGCCCCCTCCTGAGCTCTATGATCTAATTAGTTACCACATCACTACAGCAAAACTCCTTCCAGATACTACCTTCCAGGACACCTTTTGCTTGTCACAGAAATTTCATGGAGGTGTAGGATACTGATTACTAAGCTAAAATGTCAACTTTTGAAGGTTTTACTTTTAATTATAATAGAATTTTCTTTCCAAGTGATAGTTTTCTTTTTCAAGAGAAGGAAAGAGGACTGAAGGGGTTGCCTTTTCACTGGTGAGAGTGAGCTTTGGGACCTCCTCCACAGCTAAATGAGAGTACTTAGAAAGAAAGTACTTGACAAGACCAAATGCATGCTGGTGTCTTACTTAATGATAGCACTTTTAAGTTAGCAATTGCAAGCCAATAAACCAGGTCACTACTGTTGCTATGTAATACAGTAATCTTACAACTGCTGACTAAGAAAGATGACCAGCAGAACACAGAAGACCAATATTGAGCCCTTTTTCCTCCCTTCATCTTCCAACATGTAGCAATTTGGATTAGAAATTTGAACAGAAGTGCACAGCATGGAGAACTCTTGGGCCTTAATGAACAGACTACAAGAACATAACGATCTGAGCTGCAGGAAGGTGCAGTAAAAAGTGAACCACTCTATGGACCTGACTGAGCTACAGGTTGCCAGTTGGACCGACATGTTCCACCAACATCAGAGTGCCAAATCTACCCTTCTCAAGAGTGGTTAGTGAGCCACTGTTTGAGGAACACATGCTACATGTGTTATCAGTGTTAGCATATAAGTTCTATTTAGAAAATTTAACAACCTGTAATTAATTCCCTAAATGAAAGAGCTAAGACTGCAGTAGATAAAACTGTGGGTGAGATCAATAGTTAGAGAAGTGACTTGTGATAAGGAGTAAGTTATCCAGGCTGTGAAGACTATGGCCTACCTGTAGGAAACGGTACAATCTCTAAAGAAATACACACAAAATGGTTCTTTGTAATGAGTGGTTATTGAAGACTTCAGACCATAGATTTATTGAGGACCAAAAATGAAGGGAAAGAAGAGGCCATGAGATACTGAGTAAAATATTTACTTACAAGGGATCTCATCTCTACAGGTGCTTTTGTTCCAGAAACTTGAAGCTATGTGTTAAAGGTCCTGGGACCATGAATAAAAGGCAATTCTATATGGATGCCGCAAGCCATCAGCTAATCAGAAGGAACTATTTGGAACAAACCAGCAGTAATAGCAAACACATCTTGGGATGTACAGATACTGCAAGCATGTATTTGTCGTTACATATTTGACCAGCTAGAGCATATTTAGTCTGATACCCTTTTCCACTGCTTTAAAGAAGGTAATAGAAATACGCACATTACAGTGTCAACATACGAAGGGATGGTTTGTGTGAGGCATATCCCAGCACTGAGTGCATGCACTTCCAAGTTAATGAGCTAAAAGTTTCATGCCTTTTATTTGTGATGTCCCTAACACAGAAGGATTTGTGACTATATATGGGTGTGTAGAGAAGGGATTGCAACTGGCATTTGAGCAAAAACAAACAGAGCAAAGATAGGCATGACCGATTGTTCCAACAAACACCAGACAATTTTGCAACTCGTATGCAAACAGCTACATAAAACTATCCCACTCAAAAGCTTTTGATTTTTAGGTCTGAATTGCTTATTTCACATTACTGTCACTATTTAACGATTAAATGGGACCCCTTACAAGAAACAAGGTGAGACGTCTTTTTGCAATGAATTAAAATTGCAAATATTTTATTGGTAACTTAGTGTGTTTACAGTGTCTGAACCACAGAAGTTCCTATTTTAAGTGACCACAGAACATAAAATATAGAATTCTTTTACACAGCTATACAGAACAATTAAAAAATCCTTTTAACATCATTTCAGTACATACAACATTCTCTTGCTAAGCCAACCACGTGTTGATCAGGAGCTGCTTTGGGCAGTAAAATGCCACAGCTCACAGTAGATGTTTCATAACCACCAGATTTTGCATTTGATTCTCTGAGGTGTAGTACCAGTGTATCAGTGCAGTCCAGCCAGTCTGAAATGCCCTCTCAGTGCCGAGACAACTGTGTGCAGGCAGAACTCAGAGCAGCTGGGGAACTTAAATCTACCTACTGCCTGAAGGTCAAAACACAGAGATGTGATGTAGCTCCTTACAAGTTTATTTTTTCCATCTCAGGCCATTCTGTGTCAACTCTTCAGGCCAGTGGACAGATGACGTACTCTGTCACACCACTCTTTGTGTATATTTTGATACAGGATTATCAAAATCCTATAAAGATGCATGTGCCACTCTGCAGTTGTTCTGTTATTTGTGACCTCCCTGTTTGAGGCTTAGAGTGCCCTAGACTGTCTGGTTTACGCGATGATCAGATTTTATCCTCTTTTCCTAACTTTCTAACTTTTCTAAACAACCTCTTTCTCAAAAAAAAAAAAAAAAAAAGTATTTAGCTTTTTTATTCAAGGTAACAAGTGTCAGCTAGGTTTTTTAAGAAAGTATTGCTGTGCCGTAATTCTGCACCAGTCAAATGGTTAAACATGCATTGATTTCAGTGGATGGAGGAATAGAACTGAGGACTTTAGAAAAATGCCTGTCTTCACTATTAAGAGATTTAATCTTAGCTAGAACACAGATGCACTGGAGTTCTTCTGCATGATAACTGTATGATAGCAGAAGTTTTGAAAATTTTTTTGATAGGAAATGAGAGCTTTGGTAAAAACACTGCTTTGAAAAATACTGCAAAAAAAAGACAAATGTACTAATATGTGTTTATTAACTCCAAAAAGTGGGCAGTATATATAGTTTTTTATTTGCTAAATCTGAATGTCTGACTTAGCAGGACTTGTCTTAACAAAGAATTAGTCCAGGAAGAAAATGAAAAATATGTTACACATTTGCCAATACAACAGCTATATTTCAAATAATATACATATACAATATTGTAAAAATATAACGATGAAAATAATACTGATGAGTATCAAACTTAGGATTAAACTGATTATCCATCCTTATCAGATGAAACACATTTCACAGAAATAGATGCAGGCAGGGTGGAGTGAAGTGATATTCATGGCTTACTGTGAGAAAGTTACCATGAAAGTTAAGGTGAAAATATGAAGAACTAAACTTTAAATAGATGTATAAATGGTCATGATTATAGCAGTTGGGTGCATGTGCTGCAGAAAGATAGTAAGAGCAACCTTATAGTAGACATATTCTCTTGCACACACACACACACACACACACACGCACACACAAATACACGTTCCCATGCTCAAATGCATGTGCATAGGTCCTCAGCTTGATTATACAAGCATACAGTTCCTAGCCTTTGATGGGGCAACACCAGGAATGGGGTTCACCTCTCCCATTTTTAGCTGTCTGCAAGGTAGCTGTAGCTACCTACAGTCAGATGAGATGAAACCCATCTAAGGTAACATCAGCTGAACATTTTACTGAAAACTGTTTTCATCCTGACCATATTTAAGGCACTTTATAATAATCTGAAGTTAATCAAGATTGCCAAAAAAGGCAAAAGCTTTTACATGTGAAATTTGGAGATTAAAAAAAAATTCCTGAGTTTTGATAAATATTTTTATTATAATAACATACCATGCCTATTGAAAACAGGTCTTTTATAAAAGCATGTTATATGACATTTTTTCTTGAAAACTCATGCCTTAGTGCACAAAATATGTTAATAAGTCTTTGGGGACATCTGTTTAAAAATTAATAGGAAATGAAAAGCCAACGAATGACCTGTCATGTACGTACAAAATGCGCATTGCTCCCGGCAACACACACCATGTTTACTACAGGCATCTTTATCTTTCTGTTTTCTCACAGGGTCCTGCCCATATTTTAATACTTTATAATTAATTATGCCTCACTAAACTATTTACAGAAGCAGAAACTAATCACACATCTTCTTAAGCCCGTAAATATGGAACGACTGTGGAATATATTTTAAAACGGTATGAAGATGAGTGTGAAGTACAGTTCATGACTTTTTCTTTATAAAGATTTAAGTCTACATGAAATTAGAAGTTCAAATCCTCCCTGTTTTCCTTGGCTACATTTTTTTCCACCTGCTATTTCTAAAGGATTTTGCCCCAAGACAGCATTTGAACTGCAAAAAGAGTTGTAAATTGTCGCAAAAGTGTCTTGAGTAAATAATTTTTAGGCTACTGAATGCCCACTGTTTACAGGGGATATAATCAATTTGGGTTCAGTTAAAAATAGCTGTTTTCCAGTACTAGCCATCCTTTGTATGGCTCTAGTAGCATTCATTTTTGATTTTGTGCGTTTTTCTCTCCTTTGCTGTCATTAAGCACCAATAACGTGGAGACAGTGAAATGGACCATGTCCAATGTGCCACCAAATGCACTGAACAGAAAAAGTGGTTACAAAATGGTATTTATAGAGGCCTTGGGAGGTTCCTTCTAACAATAATAGGTAAAAACAATCAGAGTGAAATGCACTTTTGATTTGACTGCATCCTTTAATATTTTCATTAGCTAATTCTATAATACCCCTGATAAAAATGTTACTTCTTTACTTTCAAACTTCTATTACAAAGTATTTCATGTTCTATTTAAAAAAAAAAAAAAAAAACACAATAGTGATAGTGGTTAATCAGCTTTATAAAAGATAATATATTGAGTTATATATAACAATGGCTTTGATCCAATTAACATTACATTATACTGCTCAGTAATTACTGTGACTTCAGTTCCTACTACTGTTATAGTGAATACAAATGCTCGTTTAATGTACAGGAAGTGGGGATCATTTGGAAGTGCTGATTCAGAAGTATTCAAGTGCTAACAAAGACTTGTTCTCTCTACACTTTTTTTCGTGTTCCATAAATGAAGATTTTATAAATGTCCACAATTTTCAATGTGACACAGCTTCAGGGCAAGCATTTTCTTAATTATTTTTTTTTTGTGCAAACAAAAAACTAGACTTTTCTAAACGTTACCATCTCGTTAAAAGTAATTGCCACTTTTACTTCAAAAGGCACCAGCATTAATGTAAGGGAATATACCTCTTGCACTGCTTTTATGAAGAGCTGTACTTGTTACTGGAGCGGAAATTGTCATATCCATGATCATTAGTTTTGAACTTTAAACAGGACTGCCTTTCCTCCAGGGACAACAGATCTTTGGATTGGCACCAGCAACACAAGCATGACTGTCAAAATAAAAGGAAGAAACATTTTACATCACTTTGTTTTGCACAAAACATGCTGAAAGACTGCCCTTCTTTGCAGTACAGTACAAAACATAAGAGTGCAAACTGCCATTTTGGGATTACAGTGTAAGCGATGAAACAAGGTTAAACTTTTATTGCTCAGATGGCCACTAACTTCTGGGGTACCCCATCAACAACTAACCCGAGTGCTGGAGGACAGGAAGACTTATACTGAGTTATATACAATAATGGCCACATATATACCGAGTTGAGTCTGGTCTGCAGTTCTAAATGCATTAGACTCCTTGTTGTCCTTTGTCTGATACTCCTTCTTGGAAAAAAAATTGCACACAGTAATCTATACTTTCTGAGCACAATCCTGCTATTTAGTTGATTTTTTTAGAGGGGAAAAAAGGTAACTAAGTTGGAGAATGGTGGTAACTGACATAGTTCAAACACTGATTAGATGTCCTGCAGACTGTTTGGTCATGCTACTGACTAGTCTTTAGGTGCTGAAGTCCATCTGGGATCCTGCACACCTACTTGCTATCATGCTCAGGATGCCACAGCTCTTAGGTGCTCTCAGTTCCAGTGACTCTTTCAGAGAGCACTTAATGAGAACAGGGAAGACGAGACCAACACTGAGGCATCTGCAATGCAGTGCTGTGGCACTATGAGGGAAACACCCCAGCAATATCAGGTGTTGATCTGACTGGCTTCTGATTGAAAGACATATCCAGTAAGAATTTCATATAACCAAGGAATAAGCCTGACAGTGGCCCACGGTGAAATGCTTGGCAACAAAACAAAAATCAGAGAATTTGCAGTAGGCAATATAAGAACACTGATACAGTGTCTGAAGACAGTAAGGGGCCACAAAAAAAATCTTCAAGGACCAAATCTGGACATTCCTTTGAGCAGACATGAAGGCTGCAGGACTGATGGGTTGCAATCCACATATGACCCAGAGCCTCAAATCCTACATGCAGAATTAGTGCCTAGGACCACTCACTCAAACCAAGGGAAAACTAGAACAGGTCTGTCTCATAAAATGTTGGCATTGGAAAGAGACCAGTGGATGCTTGCACCCTCTGCCTTACGTAACTGCCTACTGATTTAAGTGCCCAGTCAGGATGGGGGGGAGCCTGGGGTCAGGTCCCTCCCCACTGGGTCACAGAGGATATGGCTACGTGAATCTCTGCAGCACAGTCTGAGCCTGCTTTGTCAGTGCTCTCGAAGTGGCTGGATGCCAGCTCCAGTCAGGAAGTGATGTAGCACTGATTAGCATGGTGCCAAGAGGGTTCATTGTACGCTCCTCTCTTTTACTTTCTGTTTTTATCCCCATGAATCCTTAATTCCTGTCTGTATAGCTTCAGCAGAAAGAGAGAACACCTACCATAACCCATTTAAAAAAAAAAATAAAACACAATGATCACTTAAAACACTTTGTGCGTGTTACGGAATGAATTTTACTGCTGACATCATCTTTTAACCAGCAGGTTCTTACCTTAAAGCAGTTTTGGAATCTTTTGCTCACCAAATACAGAGCTATTGGATTGATGCAGGAATTCAGTGAAGCCATATTAATACCAATGTAGTCCATCACAAGAAAGAAGCTGTGTGGAAATTAAAATAAGTGAGACGCTTCTCATTATCTCTGAAATGGCTTAGTAGAGATTTACACCTATGAAAATTGGACTCAGCTTCACTCAGCCAAGACTAACTATTAAATGTAATAGTAAAGGGGCTTCTATCAACAAGATTAACTCATGGAGGTAACAATTGTACTCAATAAAGTTTGAATCAGCAGACCGTACTCATTAAAGTAATTTCAGAAGATCCAACCACCTTAGCTTGTGGGAGGAAACATTAATGAGGTTTTCCTCACAGATTTAATCCTAGCTGTTCTGTTGAAAGTGAAAACAGGGACAGAAATCCTCCCTCCACCCACATAACACCACAAGACAGCAGGGCAGTCCCAAAAGGGATCAGGAAAAGACAGGCAAACAGGACAGAAGCCCTGTGTCCACGGGATTCCTCATAGTTTCCTAACTCCTGTTACTAGAGTGAAACCAGTGGCCTGGATGAAGAAACAGGGAGAACTTCAGACACACAGAGTAAGCTAGTTCATCAGAAAATCCAAATATGCTTACTGAGAACATCAGCAGCACACAGGCATTTCATTTTTGCAGTCTCACCTTAAAAGTTCACATCTGTTGGGGTCCTTCTGATCATAAATAGTGAGTTTTAATATTCTGCTTAAGTGAAGTGGAAGCCAGCACAAGGCAAAAACAAGTACCAGACAGAACACGGTTTTGGCCACCTCACGTCTCTGAAAAAGAGAATTGGACAGAACAGTGTTATAGTTTCTGTCTCTCTCACTGTTGTTCTTGTCTTCTAATATCCAACTGTTTAATAAACAAAATAAACCCCCTATCAAAAGAGGGAGTTAGGAGCACATCAGATACCTTATTTTCTTGGAATATGTACTAAATCTTTTCTATTGGTTTTAGATGCCGTGCACTGAATCTCCATATCTCTAATTTTAAAAAGTATAAGCAATAATATGAAAAAATCAAGGACAAGAGAACAGTAATTTAATTAAAAATGAAGAACATATTTGTCTCCTCAATTATTTTCAAACACCAGCTTGTTTCCAGTTCCATTCTCTTCTGCTCTGACCTCAGGTCTTATTCTAAAGATTTCAAATACAGCTTTAACAAGGCAGGAGGAAAAGAACAAAAATATACTTTAAAGTACAAATGTAGCTTAATTCTAGTGACATATGATGTTTGTGTCTGGTGCACTACTAACTCGGAATGCATTTTGGAGTGTGTTTTGTTCTGCTAATTTATACTGATTAACCACACTATAGCACCACTGCTACCAACCTATGCTTACTAGCAATCTTGAATTCATCAAACAAGAATAGAATGACATGGCAGCAAAGTCAGTGAAGGTATTATTGTCATCCTCTCTAAAGTCAGCAGAACTGTCACAATAAATTTTTACCTGTTTCAAGTGGTCATTTAAAGCAATCTGCATCCCACTTTTCTTTCGTAACATCTCACAGGTCATGAGAGTATAGAAAAATGCTGTGATAGCCAGTGGCAAACAGAAGTAAAAGCTAAACAGCCACCAGTCTTTAGCTTGCTTGTAGAACTAGAAGGAAGACAAAAGCATAAACATTGTTAGGAGTTGAATGCTGAGCATTTTGGAAAGTATGTTGTAACCAATTGGTCAGCCTATTCTGAAAAGAGCATCTTTATAAGGTGTAGAATAGAGATGAGAACACAAGGCAAGATTAAAATGCCCAAAGCCCACAAAAAGACAAAAGTCTCTGGATGCTCTTCTTTTAACCAGTGTACTCCAGAAATTTTTCAGCATTTCATATGAACATTATATTCACCTACATTTCACATACAGTCGTGCACGTTACAATTGACACAACAGTGAGAAGATCCAAGGAATTGTTCTGGAGAGCTGTGAGTTTATTAACATCAGTGTATTACCATCATAAAGGATGTTTTCTGCGTGGGGTGAAGCAGGCAGATTCTAAGATCCTTTCCTCTGTACTCCATCGTAATCATGTCAAATGCAATAGCTTCTGGAACAGCCAATATCACCGATATAACCCAGATCAGTACGATTTCAACAGCAGTCCACTTTGGCACTCCAATTCCTTTAATGCGACTCCAAGAAGCAACTGCTCGGTACCTAAAGCAACAGCACACATTTGCAAATCAAAAAATATAAGAACATCTACCTAGTTTAACTGGCTTAATAATATTATATCAGCTGAGTGAAAAGGCAAATTTGAGCCAATGCCCTTTATAGAGTTCAATGAGAAAATGGGTCTCACCTATCTATACTGAGGGCACACAAACTCAACACTGTGATGCCCACTGATGCCTTTTGAATGAAGGGTACCAATTTGCACATTTCGACACCAAAGGGCCAGTCCTCTGCAAGTAACTGTGAAAAGAAAACAGCAATTAGAAATGAACCATTTAAAAAAAACAATTCCCAAAGCTGCGACATGGACTTTTGTCTTGACTGGTTTTCTTTTCCACTATGTAAATCTTAGTCAAGAAGAACCTTTTCATGAGGGAGTCTACAAGGTGTGTGCCACAAAAATTAGGCAGTAGCTTCACAGTCACTCCCTGACTGGTTGACTGGGCAAGGATATAGAAAAAGGCTTTAGTCCTGACTTCTCAAGACCTGCAACCTCCACTCACTTTGCTTCTAACTTCACCATCCCAGAGTTTATGTTGAAAAATGACTGATCAGGTGAGGATTTATCTCATCTCGGTATTAACTTCATCTGTCTTGAGTGTTCATTGCTTTTCTTGTTCGTTCCAAGTAAGCATCTATTAGAAATACAGAAAATTACCTAAGGCTGACCAGAAGAGGGACAAGGCCAATAACTACACATCTGGGGTGGGGTGTATTTGAAGCTTGGTATCTAGGCTCCCTCGTCTGAGAAATCAGGCGACACTGGAGAGCAATTTATCCCACAGTTTTTTTAGCTGACCATCTGATAGTGAAATGAGGTATCCACTGGACACTCAAGAGAACCTGAACAGCTAGTCTGAACTAAATGGTTTGCAGCAGGTAAAGACAGATAAGATAAATCCCTCGCTGAATATCTTTATTGACTACTTTTCCAGTTATTCTGTACTACAATACCAAAAGGACTAGCTGTACATTCAGCATACCTGTTAAGTGCTACGGAAAAGGGAACCCAGTACAACGAATTTTAGGTTGATTCACTTGCATTTTGGGTTGTACAATCTAATGGAAATTTTCTGTTGCATTCCAAGTGGTACATTTTAGCTGATTTAGGGGACAAGACTTATTGGATACAGAGAGCACCTTCCCTCAGAGCTGATGCTATGAACTGTTTGCTTGCAGCTTCAGTTTAAAACCATTTAATCTTTGTACTGTGATGTGAGCTATTCTAAAGGCTCAAATACACCACAGCAGCAGCCAAATCTTCTAGTTCCTCATGAAAACAAGACTCCCCAGAACAGAGGTTAAGCCAAGAAATAGTCACAATGGTTATATACAAATGTAAACTGAGTTTCTTTAATTAGTTACATGATCTAAGTCCATCTCTGTTTTCCAAAACGTTCTTCAAATAAGGCCTTTTGAATCTGTTGCAGATAGACGGCTACGAAATGGAAAAGAAGAGGAAAGAAGAACAGTAACTGGCCAAAAGAGATTGCAAAACCTTTCCCTGATCTCAGGCCTCCTCAGACAGCAAAGTCCTTAAACACACATACATGTGCATCTATGGATCAACAGTGACATGGTCCAAGACAGTTTCTGAAAATCCCTGATGTAATTTAAGTATCACTTCACTTTAACACAAAGGAAGCATGTGCTTTCACGACCATGTGCTTTTGGAAATACCTAAGAAGGGCCCATCAGTGTTTTCAGGTACCAGAATACCTTCAGAAATCTGCTTTAGTCCAGTGCTGAAATGGCGTCTTTGAAAGAGCAGCAGTAAAAGAAAACTGTGACATAGCCCAGCTTTGATCTGTTTCTTAAATGATCTCCTTAAGTAAGACAAAGAGTATAAAGCTTCTGCAGAAACAAAGCAGAAAAAAAATTCTAAGGATTCATGTTTCTTGATAATTTTGTGGAACATAATAAAGCAGGGGAAGCAGGGATAAGGCTGTAATAACCATACAGCATATTCTACCTGTGTGATGTGAGAAAATAACTCAGTCTGTAATTAAAGTATTTTCAGTAAAGCCTCTCCCTAAGACTTCTTTTGAATTGTTGTAAGGGTTTGATAGTAACAAACTCCTATTAAAATTGCAAAGCAAATAATTACAGGTGTTCTAAATGTACACTCTACAGAATCAAGTGACACCTGGACTCACTTAATTTATATCAATCAGCCAGTGAACCTCCAGCCTACCACACCTAGTTGCTATAGAAATCAAGGACTGCATAGCAAGTACATTGTATACTTGTTTCTATTGTATTTCTTGCACGTGTAGATGCTAAATGAGAGATGACCCATTTACAAAGTACTTTAACATTAAATTACTTTGTTCTTCATTGAACTCAAATTTAGAACTTTGATCAAATTTTTGTTGGAAGGCTCTTTTGAAGACTTTTAGCTACAACTAGCTAGTGCACGTGAAGACACCCCATGTCTCTTCCCTAAAACCACAACTGCTCAGCCACACATCAGAGTTTTCCCTGAACGAATGCTTATCTCTCAGGTGCAGACAGTCACACCTGTGCTCAGTGATGACTGGACACAAGCCAGTTCTACTTTGGGAACCATATGGCTGGATTATGGCTGCACGTGAGAGAACGAAGTCTACTGAGAGAAAGGGTGCTGTAAAGCTTGGGTTTAGCATAACATCAAAGTATTACTTGCACTAGGCCAGTTTAAATCAGGGGCAGAATGGACACACAGCTGTCTGCATTGGATTGGAAAAATGTGTCCTTTATCTCTCGCAGCTGATGTGTTGTGAAATTTGAGCATTTTAATGCATGAGTCATAAGGTTCTCTATTATGGTATCACAAGTGGTTAATGATATGCTTTGCAGCAGAAGTTTGAAAATATTAAGAAAGTAAAAGAAAAAAAAAAAGTGAAATGTTTTAATTGCTGCACTAGGCTTTCTTTTTGTTTCTGTTTGTCCTCTGTATTGCCATCTCCTCAAAATACTGCCTTAAATTACAGAGAAAATCCACTCAGAAGTACTCAGGAGGATCATGTTTGTGGACAAGAGCAACGATTATTCTTAGTAAAATACAGAAGTAGTCTCATGTAATTTTGTATGGGTAAAATGATTTTCTTATGATTCATAATAGGCTATCTGTACAAAGACTGCCATTTTACAAATGATAAATGATTGAAGAGTCATGAGACACTGCCAAGTGGCAGTAAAGAGAAAAATAATGTTGTATTTTCAGCAGTAAAATGCCAAGAAAAGTCTACCACAGCTGTATTCAGAATGACCTTTTCCAGTGTTTTATAGTAATTTATTTTACTTGGGCAAAGTTTTAACTGCTAAGCCACAGAAATCTGTTGAAGATGAAATGAAATATCACACAAGGTAAAGGAACACAGTGCAGAACGGAGTGAAATAAATCATACTTAAGAAGAATACATACTGAATCATACTTCAGAACCAATACATCTGATGCACTCCTAGCCAACACGTTCTCAGACCAGGCACAGATGTGAGCCTAAACTGATGTGAAAGCTGCACAGTAGCACCAAGAGATGTTGTGACTCAGAGACACACCTGTGAACTGCAATTCCTGCCCTGCTTCCTCTTGGCTGTGTAGGAATAGAAAGATGTTGATAATCTGCTCCTAGAATACAGCAGCATACAAGCATGATGCGCTGTTCTTGATGGCTCAGCTGCTGTGGCCACCAGCCAGAAGGCTGATGCCACGGCTCCAACCCACCACTGTTGACTGTCTGCAGTCCAGCATGAAGAAGTAGCAAAGCATGCACTAATCAGCATGAGGGTCCTAGGCCCAAGCAGTGAATACACAAGGAAAGGCAGAGCGGGAATTTGTACTTCATCCTAGCTGTGCATTCACAGCAAGTCTTGTTCTCAAGGTGATAGGATTCCATTTTCATCATTATGAACTGCAGTTACACAGGAAATCAGACACGCAAACTGCACTCCTAAATCACAAGCAGCATTTTTTTCAATATATCTGTAAAATGTCTGACAGATTTTTACCTGATAGTTTCATGATGGGGATGTCATGCAGATAAAGTATTTTTCAGTATTTCATAGGAGCAAGCATTTTTCAAAACAGGAAATTTGCCCAGGAAATTAAACTTATGGTCAGGGATATGTCAGATAACACCACAAAACTTTTTCATATTTAACAATAATTATGATGTCAGGGTGAGGATCTTCCCTCCAAACAAGAAAATGTATTTCCTGCTTCCTAGTTAAGCTAAGAATGTTTTCCTGATCTAACCAATAAACAGCATATATCTTAATTTGAGGCATGCAATTTCTTTTCCTGTGTCTTCTGCTTAGAAACTTTATTTTTTCCATAATACTTAATTAGATAATATCATACAGGCATCTTGAAAATTACTTGAAACCTCATGCTATCATGTCAAAGTCAAGTTTCTGCAATCTCACAGTCCCAGGGAAAGGACTTCATCAAAGGTAACTGCTAAGAAAACGATGCCACTGTCAGATTGGGAAGCATAAAAAAAGAAAGTATTAAAAAGAGTTTTGAAACTTGTCACATGCATATTTTGAGTGAATGTATACACAATAAATGTATACATAATGAAAATACTACTCTAGGTGGACAAAGCTATACTGACATCATCCAATGTACTTCAGTTTGGAGATCAATCGTGAAAACTATGTATAGGTGTCCCCTCAACAACATACAGACATCTCCACTACTCCACATACTAGACTTCACAGTAGATCATACTGAACGAAGTTAGCACCCACTACCACTGCCGTCAGAATTCAGACAAGTTCCTCCACTGTGCAACTTGGATCTTTAAGTGCCTTTAAGATGCATGAGTTGACCATAAAGGTTTCCTAAACAAACTAGACTTCTAGTTTAATATGGTCGGGGATCAATAAAATTTGTGCATCAAATTCTGAGATATACTTTGGAAGACCTCAATTAAACGGTTCAGATGTTGCAAGAGAGGAAATCATTCGTTTCTCCCAGTAAAATGGCTGTTATCTTTAACATCAGAAAGACCAATGGGCAAGAGTTGCAATATGGAATGGTAACAATGTTTTCTAAAGACAAGAACCTTGACTTTTTTTGAAAATCGGGAAAAGACTGGTTTTATCACGATGGGTGCCCTAAAGGTACTTGCATTACAAGCGTTAGTAAGGTCATGACAAAGACATTTCCATGGAAACCCTTCCTTTTTCAGAGCACAGATGGATTAACAAAGGGACTAGTTTGCGTCTGCATAGGAGATGCAGTCCCTAATCTGCTTTTTTCTTATCTTTCCAGTCCTTGACAATGTTATATAATGTTAAATGTATTTTTTATGCAATCTCTAAAATACAGTACTGAAAAAAAAAAAATCTTTGCCTACAAAGGTGACTTTGGCATTTGGTCATTGGTTTGGCAAAAGACCAGTTTTCCTTCCTTCCCTGTAATTTTTTTTTTCTCCACTTTTCCACTGTACTCTCAAAGAAAGAGATTTTCCTCAGTCATTTGTGTCAGGAAAATGGCTCAAAAAGCCACACAGGAGAGTGCAGAGGACAGGTTGTTCCCTCTGTTAAAAATTCCATTGTAATATGACAGTAAATTTGATTTAGTGTATAAGAATAAATATTACAAAACGAGACAGAGAGGTATTTATGTATCAGAAAAGAAAGCATGTTAATTATTTGATGATGGGATTTTTAAGTCCATTTTTCTATCTCTTTGCACATATCTGCATGAGAATCAGAGCTAACATAAATTTGGAATTTCCATTCCTGATGTTGTTCTGATGTCCTACATGTGGGAATTACCCAACTTATCAATATGGGAAACCGAGCATAAGTTTTGCAGAGCTGCAGACCTGTATTAGCAGGCGTACAAGCTGCCATCTTGATTATGTGTAGAGAAAGACATGAAGAAATCACTGACCACCTACTCTACCCTTCTGCTCCTTATGTCCATACCTTCAATTGCTGTTTGTGGCCTCATATTAACAAAGATACGCTTACTTAGTCTGTTTGGTGAAGCAGTTGACCAGGCATAGAACCACCTTCAGATCCAATTAGTATCAATTTTGCAAATTGTCTGCATTGCCACAACATTACATACTGCAGAGTGATTGTCTCAGACTTTTATTTGCTTCCAGTTCTGTGGTTCTGGAGGGATGGGCAAAATCAAATTGTTTACCAGGACTCTGGAATGTCAAAAAGGTCTTCTAGGTTCTGCATGCTGGAGCTGAATTCCCCTCAAGCCCTCATTTCATGTACCCTTTCCTGACAGATTCCAATACTTTCCACTTTCTACTGGCCTCATCCAAACTTATCAAGTGCAAGGGACTAATTAGCACCTTAACACACTGGACTACATTTTCCTCACAATCTAGATAACACCTGCTTTTCTTTAGATATCCTAAATTTAAGAGATGTAAAATTTAGTTTCTGTATTTTTTCAGCTACTTACACATTCACTTAACTTAAATAGCCACAGGGGAAATCTTTTACAGTTATCACTTTTAATACCTAACAAAATGCTGCTCCTAGTGCGAATTCCAACCTCTCTCTTATGGGTCCGTCTGGAAAGCGTTCACAGACACTTTCACACTTTCTACTACAAGTGCTGTTGAGTAAACTGCTGGCATTTTATTAACGTGAGAAATACTCTCACATTCTTTTTCATGCAGCTGTCTAACTGAGTATCTGGTAGCAATTCTGCTGATATGTTTCATCCAGTTTAAAATTGTTTCAAAATGCAAGTTACAACTGTTAAGTATACTTGATTTACAAACCAGGCCTTTGCTAGCCTTTGTTTTTCCCATCCTGTTGGGTGATTACAGTCAGCTTTTGATTGCATTGCTGTATTCTCCCTCATACCATTGCTCTGTGAGTGGAATTAAATGGGATATAGAGTTGATGAAAAGTTATTGCAAACTCAAACCTCAAACTCTTAATTCTGATTACATAAACATAATGTCTAAGGTTTGTTTGGATTTTTTTTAACTCCCATTTACTCAAAAGTCCTGTTTTAAACCAGTAAATATTTCACTCATCATTGTAAGGGATAATATATATTTATGGGCTCTTGATTAAGATGTTTAGCAGTGTGGGAGACTTAACACCTGAGAGGTCTTGCTTGGCTCCTAGTGTTATTTATGGATACCACAACAAAAATCCTGGACTTGGAGCTGTTAGAATATTTATCCATTTGCAATTTGACCATTTGTTCCTCCTGGTCCATCCTACTCATAATGATATACTTGATGACATTCAACCACAATAAGGTCTGCGGCACATTATTTCATGAGATGGCACAGTCTGATACTGAGCAGCTGTTATTGATGTAATCTTTTTGACTTTCTCTCTTTGTTCAATATTTTATTTTTGTTTTTACAAAAATACATTTTTTTTCAAAGCAGCTTAAAGTACTTTGTCACAAATTCCACTCTCACTCAGAAGAGTACAGACCTCTCACAAGAACTACGATAAATGTATAATATGGAAAATACTGTAACTCCAAATAGAAGAACTCTATAGTGTAATCCAAATTATCTGGTTCATGTATTTAACACTGTTAGAATGCTCCGTGCTTTATAATACTTCAATTCTTTAAAAGGAAAAAAGATACAAGATTGTCCCATTTCAGCAGCTTCTGGGAGTAATCGCTATGGATACAGAAAACCAAGTTCAAAACCTGTCCCTTCAACGTGGTTTCCCAAAACTAAAAGTAACAAATCCCAGAGTTTACAAATTTACACACGAAATGAGGAGAGGGAATAGAAGAAGGCTCTTGTGTTTATGCATCAGCTGATGGGTGCTCTGGGACCCAGACTCTAACTTCACAAGGCAGAAAATGCCTTGTTATTTCCAGCATCCCTCCTAAGAGTGTCGATCGTAACTAGAGTCTGCCTACAACTGCCCAACGAATTGCTAAGGATTAATGGAGCGCACAAGGTGGGTAGACGAGACGGAGGTTGTACTCCTTCCGTGGCAAATCTGGTCACGTCAAAGGGCAGAGTCAAGGTGCAGGAGCAGCAGGTGTGGCTCCCTCCCTCTCGGTTGCCCATGCTGTAACACTGGCCCACGGGGGAAAGGGCTTCACAGTTCAGGAGACCAGCATGACAGATGTATAACACTTAATACAAACTGCTGTCTGAACGAGTGGTTCCTCCTGAAGAACTCCCCATGCCACCAGCGACTCTATCTGCCCATGGGAAGTACATGACTAAGCCTGCCCCAGCTGTGCAGGAGGAACAAAGTGGTGGCCACCCCGCAGGAGAGTTTTCCGTGCCTCTCCCTCTATTCCCCTCTTCCCCAAGGAGGGAAGACACGAACCCATAGAACCCATTCTCTATTACGTTTATTTCCTTTATCCCTAGGACAGCACCTGTTTCCAGGTGACTTTCGGAGCCTGGCCATCTCCAGCCGTACACTTCTGCCCCATTCCCAGCCCGGACGGCTGAAAGGGTTAGGAAGGACCGAGGCACAGCGGAAGTAGCATGTGGGGCAACAAGGACAGCATCTGACCGGAATGCCATCATCCGGCAAGTTTTTGGCATGAGGTCTAGTCCCCGGGTGGGTCGCAGCCAGCAGTGGGATGCGTTTCCCCCCAGCAGGCACGGAGGTGCCGTGCCGGGTGTCCGCGGGGGCCAGCGGGATCCCCGGGGAGCACTCTCCGCGTCCCCGCGCCCGCTCCCGGACCTATCCCCGACTCGCCCTCACCTTGTAGACGTTGATGGGGATGTCAATGATGATGTGAAGCAGGTCGCCCAGGGCCAGGCTGGCGATGAGGATGTTGGGGCCATTCCTCATACACTTGTTCTTGTAGATGATCCGCAGCAGCGTGGAGTTGCCGATGATGCCCAGGACGAAGACGAGGCAGGACACCACTGTGTTGATGTACTTGAAAGTCTCCTTGATCTCCGTTTGCCCTGTGCACATGGGGGGGGAG